AAGCCTACCCTGTACTTCTATAAGCTAGTAAAGTAGAATTTGAATGACTGAAATGCTGGGCAAACTGTGGCACAAATACTTCTACTTTTACCGCTCGCTCCAATAGAGCAACCTGCTCAATAACAATGAAGAAAGAGTCTTGGCCTCCATGCCTACATGAATTGAACCAACTCATTAAGGAACACTGGCTTCTGATCTCCCCAGATTATAGTGAGAATCCTTCCGCAAATCACAGCAAGTGTGAGAGACTAGTGGGAAAAAAAGTGCCTTTTCAGTCAACAGGGTTAGAAGATGGCAGTTCAGGTACCAAGAGGATGGATGTACTTCAGATTCAGTCATATGTTCCAAGTACCTGTGAGAAGAGTACTCAGTTACCTCATTCAGTTAAAGATCAAAGAACACATGTGGCTTCTTTAAGCATTTGTAGGGGTTTTTTCTGCCCCCAAAACCCAGGCAGAAAGAGTAAGAAAAAATTCAGGAAGTCACAGAATCGTACAACAATTCAGGTTGGAAAAGACCCTTCAGATCAGAGTCCAACCATTAACCCTATGCTACAAGTTCACCCCTAAACCATATCGCCCAATGCCACATCTAAGCGACACTTAAACACATCCAGGGATGGCAACTCAACCACCTCCCTAGGCAGTCTGTTCCAGTGTCTGACCACTCTTTCTGTGAAGAATTTCTTCCTCATGTCCAGTTTGATTTTTTAAAATTTTTTAAATTTTTTTTTTGCAACAGGGCAAGTTTAGACTGGAAATTAATGATAAATTATAATGATTTCATGACAAAAGAAAAGCCAAAGGTCTCAGTTTATGGAAATGGAGCTTAAAGTAAGTGGAGCTTAAAGTAAGCAAGATGGCAACAACTGAATTCCTCAGATGTTAAAATGTAAAGAAATTAAGAAGAAAGTAAATAATTAACAACACACAGTCTTAATGTTTTTAGGTCATCTTAAATACTGCCTGCATCAAATTCTGTTTAGTCAACAAAATTATAAATAGAGTTGATTGTGGCAGCCTGTAGTAGTGTGATGGATTAAACTTACCTCAGTCCTAGCAGGAACCTGTTTCCAAAATAACGGCTCTTTACATGTGTATACTTATCTATAGCCAAAAAAAGTTTTACTATGTTATTAATTTATATGCACACACACAAATATACTGGAATAAAAACTTCTGAAAATTGAGGACAGAGGCTAGTTTCTATAAACAGCTCCTTTCCCAGGCTAATGCACTAGTTAACACTCAGCCTCCTTGAAGTTTCTTTCAATCTAACAAGTGCCATCCCAACCAAGTAGCCATGTGTCCCCCTGTCTTTTGAGAAAAAATAGAAAAAAAAAGGTGAACAATACTTAATATCCCAAAACAGAATCATTTCCATTGTAACCACCACATTAAAAACCAGAACGTATTCTCAAACTGCACAAGAAGTAATGAATACTCAAACTGCTTTTTGGGTTAGGATAGTAACTTCTGTTTTACACTATGGAGAACAGAGCAGTGACTTTGCAAGGGTGCAAAGGAAAGGACCCGTCAGCGACAGGACAACTGCTAAGACTTTTTCAGAATTTCCTAGCTTTTACCTATAATCCTACATCATACTTTCCTCCATCGAGCCCTACCTCTGGATGCTTTAAAAAAAAACAAAACGAAAAAACAACCACACACTAACCAACCACAAAAACAAACATGAAAACAAAACCAACAACCAAAAACCACATCAGCACACATTTCAGCAGCAGCTGCCTACTAGAAAAAAATTTCCAAAGCCTGACTTGTTAGTGAAACTGGCATTTGTACTTTAAAAGAGGAAACAGGAACTGTTACTACAGCATTTCTTACGAGAACAGATAACACGACTGTGCTCAGTGATGCATTAAGCAAATTTGATTCTAGTTATTCAAAAAAGAAAGCCCAAATAGAAAGTGGCATGGATGCAGAACATGAAACAGAGTTCCAAAAGGAAGATTTTCAGTGCAACAGTAAATGTTTTACTTCTTCCAGTTCTCCCTATCACTAAAAACCACACTTGTCTGTGGTTAAATTTTTTTTCTAAAAAGCAGCTAGTAAAAAGCTACTCCAAACAACTCTCAAACACCATAAACTTGTACACATTACAAATTTAAATAAGGGGAATCCTCACAGCTGCCAGGATAAACATTAAGCAGCTGAAATTCTAGTAGAAATTATGTCCTAAATTAAATCAGATAATTCTGAAGTCACAATACCTAAGCATATGTTTTCTTACAAGTACAGAATTACTGTAATTATTACCTTAAATACCCACTTGGTTGGATCCTCTCTGATAACCAAGGGAGACAGCTAACCTTTGAGAAACTCCAGGTGAGGAGGGAATTGATATACTTCAAGCCAGGCAACTTGTGCAAGTTGTTACAAAGAAAAGCTTTTGCAAGGCAAAGTGGATGAAGGAAAGAACCAACATTTAAACAAAAAAATAGTCAAAAGTATAGTAGGGCTTCATTTCAGAATTTGAGATAGGAGGGGAGAGAGGAGAAGCATATCCTATGTATCTACATAATCACAGCTCAAATAATTTATGTTCCTTTATGTTGATGTAATGGAAGGCTAAGAGAAAACAAGTTACAGGTAAGTACTTGAAGAAATGCTAGATAACACTTCTTAGTCCTTGCTCTGAAAGTCATAGGACATAAATTAGCCATTAGTGAAAGAAATACTTCCTACAGCCAGTATTAACTTTCTCAGTGAAGAAGGATCAGTGTATTCCCCAAATAAATGCTGCACACCAGCCAACTGCACCTAGAGGCATACTGTAACGCACAGCTGCAGTTCTGTATTACCATTAGTTGTTGCAACAATGCTTTTGCTTTATATGTTTCAGAAATGTGTTCCCCTACATCATTTATTGATCTCTAGAGATAAAAAGAAAAAAAAAGATAGGAAAAATAAGTATAAGTTTAGTGTCTTTAAATTCTTCCGTCATCTCCAAGATACTTTCTTAGGCTCTCAACTTTAAATTGATTATATAAATCCTGAGATATGTATTAAAACAAAACACAGTTTTCATTCAGAAGTTTTGCTACAGGGTTTTGTTCAACTGACAAAATACACTAGGGAGTGTAAAAAATATTTATTCAACCTAATTCAACATAATTTTAATTTGCAATACTTAAAAACAAGATTTACAACAGAGTAATGACCTTCCCACTCAGATGAAATCATTTTATAATCCACACAGTATTTTTATAATTGTATTTTTACAATAGCCTTAACTTCCAGAGGAGACAATGAGCTTTCCTGTGGAACAAGTTTCAAACCCACTAATCTGCATTGTTTAATTCTTCACAAGACTTTAAAAAACAGTAATAAATCGGCTGGAAATATGTACAGTGAAGAGCACTGAAAAGCTGTTTTCTTGAAATAAGGAATTCTGTAAGAAATAGGTATTATATTGTTTCAAGACTATCTTACAGAAAGCAGCAACATCCAGAGGTTGCTACTCTGTTTAGAGTTTTATATAAAAGTGAGCCCACTAAGACAAATATAATCAGCAGACTTACAAGATTATAGTAATTCTTCAGTTACAGCAAGAACCTTGAAAGTATTTGATATTGATTCAATGTACCATATTCAATATCTGTATAGTTTTTGAATACTAGTTGGCCATTATATACACTTTTGTACAGTTCTAAAATATTACAGCTCAGTAATTAAGATAAACGTACTATAGAAGAGGTACCATATTTTGAATTTCTCTAACATACATTATTGCAGTCAAATATGAAGTCTGTTCTCCATTTACTTCATTTCTGGTGAAAAGAAATACTTATGAATACTTCCAATACAAGATTATTTTTAAACCTTTCCCCATGCATTTTACATACTAATATGAACAAGAGGGGGAAAAATATCAAAAACAAACTTTGAGAAAAACAAATAAATTGTTGTTTAAAAAGCCCCACACTTTGAAATACTAGATCTAGGTTATGTCTGGTACGAGTATTACATGGCCATGCTATGTTTGTCAAAATTTAGCTTCACAAACAGTTAATTCCTGTTGAAATTACGTTTACAAATACAACAAATATCCGAAGTGCCGATGTCTCCCTCAGCTGGCTACTCTGAACGTACTGTAACAGTAAAGCTTTCTGTCTAAACAAACTTTGTTACACATTTAAGATTTATCCTTCAGGCCTTTACAGAGCGGAGCCAAGTTGTCTTGAGCGTGTGTAGCCCCCTGGTGTGTACTGTGCTCAGATCAGATACCCAAGTGTAGTGCGACACCCTCCAGCCACCCCTTCCACCGGAGCCGGTGTGGGCAGGGAGAGCCCGGGCCTGGTACAGCCCTGAGTGAGGCATCCGCGTCTGGAAGCCGAGCAGGATGCCCTAATCTGTCAGTTTAAATGCAGCTTTAGTGTCCAGTGTTGTTTTCTCGCACTTCTAGTGCTCTTTGTACTCCTATAGATATTTACATAATCAAAATGAATGCAAAAACTAAACAAGTGCTCTAACTACAAAAGAAGCAACTGAAATTTACTTCACCCCATGTAATTATTTTACTGTGGAGGAAGAAAATGCTATCCAGCACCAGTTACAAAACAGTAAAAGAGCCATGAGAAAATAACACTAGGCACTGCAGAAGACACAACAGGACAGTAAAAATTATCAATAATAATTAGTCACCTAACTTCAGCACCTAGTACTTAGGTGGCTAAAGCTGACACGAGTCCCGTAGAAAGCCAGCTATCTTCTGCTTTCTCTGACAAGTCATTTCAGTATTTTGCACTCCCTGCTTGATACCAGCAAAAACCAGGGAAATTTTATTGACTGTTGTCCCACGATTACTTCTCCTTGGTAATGACTCACATTTCCTTTCTAAAAAAATCTCTTCATTGTGTGAAATGCTGAACTGGATGACAGCATGGGTATGAAAGCATGTACAGAAAATGCATTTGGATATAGCCTACATTAACGACACAATTTAAAATCTTCTGTAGTTGATGCTTTTTTTTTTTTTTTCCATTCAGCATACTGGCTCAAATAAAGTAATTCAGAAGCCTGTTGCCCAACAGAAGTACTCAAAAATGAAAGCCAAGTCACATTCTTAGGTTCAGTGGTTGCTGAAAGGATTTAACCTGCCACAAGATAGTGCTTTATTATACTTAAAGGAAATAAAAATAAAAATAGGAGCAGCAACTTATCACAATTCTCCACTACTGTGCAATAATGATGGAACCAACACAACATGGAAACCTCTTAGGCGAGACTGTATGACATCTGGAGATCACAGCCTTATGCTCCTTCTTGCTCAGGATAATTTAAAATTTTGCGGTGAGCTTGACGCAAATATTGCTGCTGTTTGAAGTAAACCTTAAAAGCTCCTTTTATAGCAACAAAAGCAATTCCACCCTGAAAGAAAAAAGATATTTTGAAAACTTGCACAGTTCAGTGTCATATCATTGCAAACATTCTTTTTAAAAAATTCTGGTCAAAGAATATTTGTTTTCCTATCGTATAGCGTTTTCTTTTGAAGTTTAGCTAATTAGAACAATTACAAATGAAGATCGCAATGCCTACTGTCACAATGCATTATTACAGAGGTTGGTGTTACTTAAGATTACACACTAGATCTATAAAACCTTTTGAAAGTTTTTACTTGCTTGTAAGTAAAATATTCTAAAAAAAACAAACCCAAAAACCAAACCCCAAACACCCAACACCCCCCCAACAAAATATATCCTATTTAAAAACCAAAGTAAAATGCAGATATCTTTTTCCCCTCCTTCTCTGAATATATACTATACATGGCACAAGGAATAATACTAATTACTACTCTAGAACGAGACTCTGAAAAAGGCCACTTGCTAAAAGCAAGTGTGAAGTAAAATCTGCCACTTTGTAAAACAGCATTTTTTTTCCGGAAGTTTTACAATATGTTTATCAATAAGAAGAGACTAAGAAGCCTGTAATCTGCATGAATGGCTGTGTTCCTTCCACGTGGAAGAACAGGGTGCACAAATATGTTAGAATCTACAACAGGCTGAATCTGTGACAGTCAAATGTCCAGGGATACCATCTTATCAAACTAGGGGTGCTTTTCCTTGAAATGCTACAAGCTAGAGGTTATTCACAAAGGAAGAGATTGTCTTCTCTCTTTGTCCTCCCCCCTCCATTGAAGTTCTATGGAGAGTTTATTTTTCTCTCCTTATCTTAATAAGTAACAAAGGGATTTTGTCAAACAATTAGTAAACAGAAGCTAATACAAAAGGGTTCATAATATAAACCCATCTTCTCTTGCAGAGATTGTTCATAAAAGATGCTGGTTCTTCACCTTCACTATCATTCTTGATTACAAGCTTCAGCCTTGTCTTGAACTGAGATTACTTTCAGTCCTAAGGACAAAGTCTCTCACACATGTGATGCTTGTCCACTGCCCAGAAAAAGCAACCTTAAAAAACACCAGACCCTTCCCTTAATCGAAGGTCACTCATGCTCTAGATCAATTTGTGTTCCTTTTCACTTTCCCTCCCTTTGCCCACAACACATCATATTTCCATATTTATTATATTTGTTTATGAAACAAACAATACTTGTTCTTACCAAGATTGTCCTTTGTAAATTGGAGTTAACACTGCTGAACATCAGCTTGCCAACTATCGTGGCAATAGTAGGGAAAACTAGAGCTCCACAGAGAATACGTGTAGCAGAGACATGATCTGCCAAAGGGTAGGCCTCTGCTGGAATACGAGGAACAGGACATCCAATGCCTAAAGGGACGAGAGTGGGGGAAGAAACAGTTACATAGCCGCTACCTCAGACAGAACACTGAAAGCACACTAGTGCCCACCACCCACTCCGTTAGAAATCCCTAGCTCAGTTACTTTTTCAGAACTATCTTTCTCAGTGGATATTGTGTCCATTAGATGACTGTATTTCATTTTTACTTTCAAATAAAACTCAGTAGCTCGTTTTGTTACTGAAGTTTTATGTGAAACCATGATCCTGCTCCTCTTGCCCCACCCCACCGATCTCACTAGGTGCTATACCGACACAATATAAATAGACTGAACATAAAATAGATGAAACATAATAATCACCTTAAGAACGGCAAAAACTACTTGCCTATCCCCATCTCCGAAAAGCACAAATGTAAGCTTGATATTTCCCTTTAAAATTTAATCACATTACCTGGAAATATGCTGTTCAAAATTTGTAGCTTATTAGAGTATTTGCGCCACAGTCTGAGCACATAGTCCTCCCAGCGAATCATCTTGCCCAATATTAGCATGACTGGGATAGTGGGAAGTCCAATCAGAAGAAATAATGGATCAGCTCTCTCCATGACATCAAGACCTTCTTTGTGACCCACAACCTGGTAAAAACGTATGTAGTTAACAAACATAACAAAGGCCACAACCAAACAAAGAATTTTTTAAAAAGTCCATTTTGTTTGGGGCTGCCCATGCATTTGCCTAACGTACTCTGATTTCCCTTTGCATCCACGGTTGCCTATCAAGTATAATGCAGGTGAGCTACTAGTTCTAGTTTGCAAGTCATTAATCTTGCAGAGAGCTGCAACTCAATCCCTTACCAACTCAAAAAAGTGTCACGTGCTTCTGTGTAAATAAAAGCTTAGATATCTGAAACATCAGAATAGCATACTTTCAAAAATGCACTAAAGAATTTATAATTTTAGAATTATTAATTCTGCACTCAGAAATTGATTAGTTACTACTTGTTAAAGGATAAATTGATAGCAAGTATCTCAGGATGTTAAAAATTTCTGCTGTTTAGGAATACCTTAGGTAATACAGATCACCGTATTTAAAAGTATTGCTTCTCTAGACAGTGCAGGAAGAGGTATGTTTTCAACTGCAGTAGAAACAGCAGCATAGCTTCACTTGTACCTTAGTTTTAAACATGGCTCATGCTACGATTTTTAAAGGACAGTCATTACTGATGTGCCTAACCCTTTCTATTGGCACGTAAAAATAATCAGACTTCGCAGTTTATAAAACATACTCATTAAAATTGTAACAGAACAGTGCCTTATGCATTTCTAAAAAGTACATACTTTTAATTTAAAATAAGTAACTCCCATAAGGCTGAGGAAAAAAAAAGAAATTAATATGGCAGATATCCTCTAGGGTTGTCTCAATTTAAGAATTACCAAATATTAACAAAGTCCTCGAAGTGCTTATAGAAAGAACAGGCTCTGTCATGACTTTATCTATAAGAATTCAAGAAATAATTATTACATTTGTTAGGCACTGGATTTCCTGATGTGTTTTCATTGACTTGTTTTCACCACAAATGCAAAAGGCTATCAAGTTTTCATTTGTACAAAACTTAGATTTAGGTGGTAAGAACATGCAACCATAACAATTAAAAAAAAAATAATTACCCCAAAACAACACAAAAAACCCAAGCAACACAACCCAGTACTTCTGGAATAGGAGGACATGGGGAAGAAACTAGGGTAACGTATCACTGTACTTTCAAACTGTACTGTTCAGCCTTGGTTTGAAAACCATTCCAGTTCTAGCACAGGAATTTACATTATACCACAGCCTCTGAAAATAGACATAACCGATATTGTTGCTGCCAAAAGATTTTTCCTGCAAAAAAGTATTCAGCATTTGTCTTCCAGCTTCTTCACTATCTTCCACGCAAGCTGTGGTGTCTAATGTTGCCCTTTTTCTCCTTATATAGTCCTTGTCCATCAAAAAAAGCACCAGTACTTTGTCTTTTCTGCTTTAGATTTTCTCTCACTTTTCAGTAGCCCCATATGATTTGTTACTGACTTAGCTACCACTGGAGTCACAATGTCAATTCTCTATTTATTTTTCTCCATCTGAACTTCTAAAAATAGCTTTTGTGCTTCCCTCCAGCCCTTCAGCTGAAGGAGTCTGAAATGCATTGAGAAGCAAGTTGTATTAAACCTAGCACATTTGAGGTGACAAAAAGGGTGGAACAATTTCCATCTACTCCCAGTTTAAACTCCTCCATTGTAAGCAAACAGAAATTATCCGTGTGATCAAAACCCATTAAAATCAGAGAAAAATAACTAACTCTTCATATCTGGGATTTGACCAGCTGTCTAAACAAAAGTCAGGCCAATCCTCATTTGAAAAGCAAAACAACTACAGAAAGGAGCATTTATCTTACGTAGTTCTAGAGAAGTTAAGAAGGTCATATTAAGTTCCTACAGAAAAAGGCCCAGTGCAGCAGTGAGCAAGAGTTTCAAAGTCTTGCTGTAGCATTACAGACTGTTGCAATGTTCCTTTAAGGGCCATGAGAACAAAATACCAGATGAAGAAATACTTAAGTACCATTCTGTAATAGAGAGACTCATCCACGGGAGCGGAGGTGGTATTAAAAGCTACTAGACAGCAGCTGCTTGACCCTGGCCACACTGGTACCAGGGAGACTGCATCAACTCCCTCAGGCTCAACTTCAGGCAGGTGTCATACACATTTCTGCTGTGAGATCGCGTACAAACAGAACTAAACCAGCACACCATCTTCAGCTGCAGTGACCTGTAGAACTGCAGGGCAGCACCACACAATTCAAGAACGAGTAGTGCCATGACTTGACTGGGTTGCATATTTAAAATTAACTGTGTAGAGGAATGCTTGTTAGCATGCAGATATGTTAATCCTATCGACAACTGAATTAGCATCAGAGATACTTTTCTGCTTTCAGGCAAAACAGATTATGGGCTTGATAATAGGAATCAGCAACTAAAATGGTAACAAAGATCCTTCTAGTTGTATAATTTATGAAAACTCTTGTAGTTGAACTCAGGCAGCCATGAGCAAGTCTTTCCATAGTTAATAGTCTACCAGCTCTCAATATTATTTTTATATTTTAATAGCAAGTTCCCGAGAAGTAGGAAAAAATAAATATTTTTCCCTTTCAACTAACCGTACAGTCTGAATTAAAAGAACATACTATTAATTTTCAGTGTTTTGAATTTGTTGTTTAAGAATGAACTGCACCATTCAGAGCATGCATTTTCCTTTATACAATAAAAAAAGCGTCAAGATTGAAAAATTCACCATGTCTCAACCTTTTGAATGCTACCAGCAAAATTTTTTTTACAGGTGAAAGAGGAAATTAGTCTCATGGTTTTTTTCTGAAGAATTAGACTACCAGTTATTAGTAGCTAGGTGGTCCTGGCACCTTTTCCATAAGAATAGGACTCACCAACCTGCCATACAAAGGGCAGCCAGTTAGAGCAGTAGTGACTTTTGTTAGCTGCAGACTGAACCACATTTGAACAAGCATATTTGACTTTATACAGTACGATCAGTTAAAAGTGCAATGCTTTGCACCCACCCATCTTGAAATCACTTGTTAACTACAAGTGCTGAAAGCCAACAAAGCATGTTTTAAGCCAAGGAAAGAGGAGTCTGTTAACTGACTTTTTCTTTAGAAGACTTGCTTTCAAAGCTGGTAAAGAGGAGTACACATGTACCTGCATCACTGTCACAGCTCCATATGTAACAGCTGTCCAGTATATAGAGCCCACCATTATTCCCGCTGCAGCAAATGGGCATGCCTTTGAGATCAGTCGATCTGCAAGATCCAAAACGTAAACAACTGGACCTATGATAGAGGAAAAGTAAGGTTTCAAGATATACATATATACTTAAGCGTACTGATGAAAGCTCTTGGCATCTGTCACTGATAATAAGAAATGAACTTGGCAAAACACAAGTCTGACATCCTACACGTGCTGTTTAAATGAGAACATACAATTAAAAAGTTAACAAGCTAAACCTGTAACTTACTTCTACTTACCACTTCATTCACCACAACATTTCTTTTGAGAAATTAATACACTAGTTAGAGCACTGATTAATTTGCCCTTTGTATGTGTTGAATCAGAGTTGTTCTGTTGTAGAAACCATTTTAGGCTTAGCTATTCTATTTGTTAGGTATTATAGTTTTCAAAAAGAAGAAATACTGATTAGCTGTAATGTGCTTCATGTGTTTATCTTTGACAGCTTCACTCAAGAATTCTGTCACTAAACTACCCTGCTCTAGAGTTACAAGTAGCGCAGTCATTATGGTAGAGCCCTTCCACTGGAAGAGGCTGCATTCAATATTTTTAGAGGACCACCTCTCAAATGCTGGAAGAAAAAACCCTTCTAATTCAGGTTATTTAGTGCACTTGACAGCAATGCATGAATAGAGGTTCATTGTTCTGTCTCTGGACAACTGCACTTTCCAGATCTGTACAGACTTTGGTGGGGCAAGCAGGGGCATGCTTGCATCTTTTATTTCAAAGACTGCAAGAGCACCAGCAAAGCAAAAGCCAGAGGTTGAAATCTGAAATGTATGGAAGTAAAAAATGTCATCATCATGATTAGATTCCACATTACTTTCATGTTTGTCAACAAATTTTACACATAGTGTTCCTCCAGCTTATATGCATGAATAGTTCTTGTTAGCTCCCTCTCACTTTTTCCTACCACAATTAGTGAAAATATTTTTCTCAAAACCAACCTATAGGCATTATTCAAGTAACTAATCCTCTCTGTCTCTCGCCAGTTTACCCACTGTGGCCTATAATTCTTTTCTTACTTCCTAATCTTTTTTTCCTGTTTGTTTGGTGTTTTGTTATTTTGGTTTGTTTTTTTTTCAGAGGCAGGGGGAGGATGGTTTTGTACACTGATGCTGAGATGTATGCCATTTTCCTCCTCATGTCCAATTAATCAGAACTTGTAGAGAATTGAGAAGATTAAGTGGCAAGAATTTTTTCTTTTTTGCTTTTTTAAAGGTAAAGATACTGTATTCAGCATTCTCCAAATATACAAAATCACTTGCAGTTCAGTTCTTAGCTTGATAACTCCTGGGTGATAACAATTTTACATTCTTAGTTTTTTAGGGTGGTGATAACTTAGCATCCTGTTTCCAAAAAGACTGTCTCTGAATTATCATATTTACATCAAATGAATTAAAAGCTGTGCATTTAACACACACTTAAGATTTGAAATAATAGCCACAGAATTTTGCAAATTTATTTCCATCAGTCATACTGACAAAATTGTGACTCCTGTTTCCAGACTTAGTTCTTTTTTAAGAAAAGAGCGCTCATGTAAATGCTTTCAAAATAACCAGTTCTACTCGGCTCAGGTCAGCCAGTGAAAACAAGCAACAGGAACATCTAACTGAACTCGTTCATTGTCATGTTTTATCAGCTCTGGTACTCTTGTAAAGCCCTCCCAACTCCATCTGTTTTGTAGTGTTTCCCCTCCTGTGCCCCTCCCCCCCTTTTTTTTTAAAGAACAAGGTAGGATTTTACATACTGTTCATAGAGTGGTAGTAGCCAGAGACCTTGTAAAATTATGGCAATTTTTTTTTTCTTCCATACACAGGTACGTGTGCAAATACCGTACTGAAAACCTGCATATTTAGCTTATATGCAGTCTTGACAGAAGTCAGTGTAAATTTTGCTGAGGTACATATCAGACTAGTGGGCAGTCCTAGGCAACTTGGGCAGAGTATTGCTTTACGTACTCCCTACACTAGCTCTGCTCAAGCCTCAAGTTCTTAACCTACTACTCATGTACTTCAAAGTGGTTACCTCTGCGTACATCTTCTAGTACGGCATGCATTCTTTGTTCTAGTAATAAGCTCTAGTTTTAAGGGCAAGAAGCACCTTCCTGTGTGGCTTGTAAGATAGTAAACTCCTCACCAGCACCCTGCTTCAAATACACTAACAGATATACATTACTTCATAAGCAGCTGACAAAGTGTAACTACAGAGTTAATTTATTCTGGAGTTAAGCATCCTATTATTGATTAGATACCACAACTAAAGGGCTTCTGAAGGAACGCTCTACTCAAAATACGAAGAACTGGAACAAGCAGTTCAACTGTATTAACAGTTATGTTTAACTTTCCAGGATAGACGTAAAGTGCTGGGATGTCTATCAACGTGCTGAAAGCGGCAACAAGGTCATGACTGCAAGTTCTAAATGCGCAGTTGTTTACACATCTGACTGCTTCTCACGGCCACTGGAAAAGTTGTTTAGTTGTACCTTTTTGAAACCTTACATTTTTTTTAATAAGATGAAGATGAGAGACAAAAAAAAAAAGCCATCATATTTGATGAGTCCTAAAGGACAAGACAGAGCACTAACACCTGGCTTGTACTTCTTGGCAACCGGTGTGGCAACAGTGAAAGTCTACCACTACAAGTACTAACAAATTGCACCTACTGATACAGATCATTAAAAGAAGCAAGCCATAGAATTAGGTAGAGAATCTTGAGAAAACACTAGAAAAAGATTGTTCCAGTAACTTTTGGGGTTTTTTAATTAGCCCTTTAGGAAGGAAGTAGTGAGAAAGGAGGACAAATATAACTGTTTCTTTTAAGATGGTATTAAGGAAGAAGCAGGAAATTAAGTATCACTGACATACCAATTAGAGAAGGAAATACAAAATACAAATATATTTTTCATTTTGTAAAAACCATCATGCTTGAACAGACCTTTTTCTGTCAAACTCTGCTTTCTATTTATTAAACTGAAATAATTATCTAAGAGATACTTTGGTTACTTTCAAAGTGGCAATAATATTTTCCCATTTAATTAAAAAAAGTTCTTAGAAGAGAGGAAAACAGATAGCAAGAGCACAGTTACCACTCTAAAACTGATACACACTATCATATTTGAAATGGAATTACAATTTTAGGAAGATAAATAACTAAGGAGGGTGTTTTGAATTGTAAGTATATAAAAAGACAACCACTCTTACTTATAGAGATATTTGTTGATGTTTCCTCAAGCTGATATTAGTTCAAAACTACAGTCATAAATAAGAAGTTGTGTTAGGGAGTGCCCTTTCACCAAAATTTGTTTTTATAAAAGTTTCCAGCAGTACATTAGAGAAGTTTTAATGTAAATAATTTCCTGAACGGTGCTACCTCAAGGAAACTTTAGTTGTTACTTCTTCCCTGCACAAGACACTTTAGTTTCTTGAATGGTATGACTAGTAATGTCTTCAAAAAGTTCCTGCTGCAGCAGAGACGGGCTACTGGCAAGGCTGCTTGGAACATCTTCCTGACCTAACTCTACTTGGTGTGACCTTGACTGACTTATAGTTGATTTTGTGATGTAACAGTTTCGAGTTACTACGAAGAGCTACAAAAGTGCAAGACTGTCTCACTTGTCTAAGGCACTTTAAGCTCATGATTGATGTTTGATGGATTCAAACTAATTTCTCTGCTCTACTTATCCATGTCTTATATACTCTTACATAAGTCTGAATTTTTATGCCCTTCTCCATTTTCATAAATGGACAAAGATGATGTTGTGAGGAAAAACAGATCAAAAGATTCTACATGCAAGAGCTGAACAATGTCATGCAAGAATTTTAGGCCAGCTTCAGAAACTAGGAATGTTAGTGTTCAGGAATCTTAGCTTTCAAATAGTGTCACAAGAAAAAAAATCAAAAATGCCTGTTGTTTATGTGCATATATCCTCTCCAAACTATAGTCGCCTCTCCTTCTTCCCCATAGTCAAAATAAAATGCAAATGCAGCTCACATTACAATTTCATCATTCAAGAATCAAATATGAATTTTAAACAGCTTCAAGTTGTGTGATACATTGTAAGTGTCCACATATCAAATCATTTTACCCCCAGGGCCAATGCTAGATGTTATCATTTGATGCCTTCTTTATAATGGACAGTAAGATTCCTCTCTATACTTACAGCAGAGTTGAATTGTGGTTAATATATCAGTAACTTGGGAGTAAGTCTCATGCTGGTTTATGTTTTCTTTAACATCAACAATACTTTAGTCCTTATTTTCTTTTCCATTACTCCATGTTCTATCATGAAAATAAATGTAATCACCCATATAAAATTCCCTCTGTACCTTAGTTTTGTCACGCCTTACACTAACAGAAAAGAGATCCTGTACCAAAGAACTGACAGTGCAAGTTATTTTCAGCTGTTTCATTACAGAAGATACTTGAAAAAAGGGGGGGGGGGGGAGGGGGGGGGGGAAATCTTTAAAATCCTCTAAATACCCATAATCACATGACATGCCTTATCAGCATTTCTTTAACAAGCAGCTTTACTTTTAAACAACATTTTAGTTTCCATGGCAACACTTCATTTTCTTGCCCTACTTAATATACCCCACAGAACTACCTTAAAAGGAGGTTCTAGAGAGGTGGGAATCAGTCTGTTCAACCAAGTAACAAGAGGTAGGACAAGAAGAAATGGCCTCAAGTTGCACCAAGGGAGGTTTAGATTGGTTGTTAGGAAGAATTTCTTTACTGAAAGGGTTATCAGGCAATGGAACGGGTTGCCCAGGGCAGTCCCCAAAGGTATTTAAGAGTCATGTAGACACAATGCTTAGGAATATGGTTCAGTTGAGGACTTGTTGGTGTTAAATTAATGGTTGGACTCCATTATCTTAAAGGTCTTTTCCAATCTAGCAAATTCTCTGTGTGTGTGTGAACACAGAGGCAAATGAAGGCTGGAATAACAACAGCCACTGTTAATTTAAATACATGCAACATATTGTGCAGTGTGCTACTTGGCTACTCAAGTAAGCAGACTCTGGAAGACCATCTCCAACTTTGCTCTTTCCACCGTGACAACCAGAGCTAGAGCAGCGCCCAGCAACCACAGGTATTCTGCCTCTTGAATATAGGGCAATATTGACTCAGGAATATCTCCCAAACAAAGTAAAAAAATATGTTTTGTCAGGTAATGCAGCAGGTTGCTCAGTAAGGTTCCTTCCTCTGAATTTCCTTTGGTAACAGTTTCTCTGCAAGCTGAGAGAAAACCAAAAAAAGGATGTGTTTATGTGGTAACACATGGCAATTGGTGAAAGAAGGCACCCTCTGGCCAACAACAACAAAAAGATAATCACCTTATCCACTAATTAATTATAGGTCAATCATTTATAAGACTTAGCAATATACTTAAGTGGAACACATACAAAGTTTTCAGATTTAACCAAGCCACCAAGTAGGACGTGAGCAGAATAGGATGTTATTTCTTTCTGTCTGGAAAAGGGAATGGACAAGTTTTCAACAGAACTGATGCTCCAAGCACAAGACAGGGGTTTTTAAAAAAAAAAAAAAAAAAAAGGAAGTAGGAACAATATAAAGAAACAACCCACAATATTATGTTTAAAATTTAAATTACGCATATCTTACCTAGCTTTGGAAATACTATTAAATATTCTGCATTGCACTGAGGACAAGCAACTCTAGCAGTACTGTTTCCTCTCTGCTTTTCATCCACCCAGCGCTGCAGACAAGTCTGATGAACCCATTTCGTAGAGCCCCTGCACCTGCAAGGTCTCACCCACTCTGCTGTCCGATCATCCTCATCGGTAGCAAAACAAACCCAGCAGCTTCTGTAATTACAGGAAGGAAAAAAGAAGATATTTTTTGCTACTTTTACATGCTTAAAATGAACTCTCATATGCAAAAGCATGTAGTTTTAATAAATGCACACCTAGAGGAGATGATGTCGCTGTTTCGTTCCTTATCACCGAAAATACGCATTTTGTACCACAGTCTTATTCTGCTATTAACACAGTATTACAGACAGCTAAGCAACTGCTTTTCATACATTCTAATTACTAATTTAACTTTTAGATAATTTATGAATTAAAAAGCCTTGAGAATGTAGTTCTGAATATTTCCACATATTTTTAAATGTATTATCTCCTACAGTAGACATTTTGGTAAGCTTTGAACATTAAAAATATAACATCAATACAGCAGTCTGTTACTTGGGAAGCTAACTCCAACCCACTTAAAGGACAAACCAGCACAAATGATACAATGTATCATAAACCAAACTGTAAATAATTATGGTCAATTCATTCCGTCCCTTTGAAAAGATGAAGTACTCCATTCAGATAGACTGATATTGTATAAGTTCAGTTACAAATTACTTAACGAATACACTATTGCACTTCTAGAGCAGGAAATCTCTGCTGAAGAATTATCTGGATATGTAAAATCTAGACATATTGATTCTAAAAGAAGAAAACACAAGACTGACAGGCTGTGACCTGACAATGCATCCTAGTAATTCCCAGATATCCGATCTGATTATTAGGTCAGACCTTTGGACACCTTACAACTCACAAGACAAAGTAAAATGTGGATCTAAAGTAGGACATTATCAGATGTGTTGACCCAATAATTTAGTTTTTATTGTGAAATAATTTGCTGATTCCCATACTGAAGATACTGAGTTTAGACAATAAACCAGAATCTAACAAAATAAGGAACTTATTACAAATGTAATCTGGTTTGATAAATTTAAATATGTATTTTACACAGGTCATTGCAATCGTAGTTAAACTTTTATAAAAGCATATGGTGACAGCATAATTTAACTGTCAAGACACAATCTAATTATACACTAACTGAAGTTCTGCAGCACTATTTTGATGATGTTTTGTTCTCTTAATTTGAGTAACTTCACTAAGATGAAACAGTTAAATGCTTCTTATATGCAACCACTGACTGACAGTAAATGAGATAGTATGAAGCTAAGAAATACTCTAGCACTACTAAACAAAATAATGCCAAGATTGAAGAACAGTGATTGTAGTTTTCTATGTGGGGATTTTGCAGAGGTTCATGACACTTCCTCTCCCTCTCTGAGCGCTTATCAGTACTAAACCTTCTTCCCAGCCTTCTAAACTCTTCAATCAAACTTTTTCCTCATTTCAGCTTCTCAGCTACTACTCACCCTCACATTTTTTGTTTCAGTCTGCCCTTTCTGCATCCCATCTCTACCCTTTGTTAGCATCTGGGAGAAGAAATTACAGTTTGGAAGTCCCCTCCAGCTAAAACTCATTAGACAAAATTTAGAAGCGAATTACATGCACAGCAAGGGCCAGTCTTACTAGAGCCACTTTCAAAGCAAAAAAATAATGTAATTCCTTTAAAAGGTCACTATTTTCTAACATGTCACATGTAAACAGGCTGGCATTTCTGATTTTGTTTTTAACATCTCTATGAGGAAAAAGGGAGATAAATCTACAATGGGAAAATTCCAATTTTGTCAGGCTCAGACTTGACATAATGAAAAACAGCTTTCAAGACATCACTATTTTGGATAGTATTCTATTTAAAAACTGAAAATATTTCTCTACAGAAGAATAGCCATGTTTCATTTATAGTAATAACCACTTCTATAAAATATTTACAAGAGATTCTTTTAAAGCACTGAATCTTTTTCTGCTTTTTAGTGGTAGAAGTATAGTAAAATTTGGTTGTGAGTATGCAAAGAGCAGAATATAATCTTTGGCAACTTATTACTAGCATATTTGTGAAAGGGAATACAATTTGATATGCAGATTCCAGGAAAGACTGCAGGAAAAGCAATGTAACGTGTTTGGATTACCACTTACACTGACAGTTCAATAGCTGTCATGCGCACATATCCAGTTCTAAGCGCAGACCATTATCAGAGTAGGTACAGATGTAGATTTTTAACACGGGTGCTCTAAAACTAGACCTGCTTCCGACTGCCTTCAAGGAGACTGCTCATTTGGAAGACTGTCATCTTGAATTAGAACTGCAATTTCTTCCATTTGTCTTCATGGGAAGGTAAAAGCAAAATCTAACTTGGCTTCTTTCTGCCCTTCCCCACAACATCTGTTTAAATCGTCATGTTACGCACTCCGGTAATACCATCCCGCTTTTCACCTTTACGCTCCTGATGTGCGCCTATAGCAGTCCTAAATGGACACGTTAACTTTCCTAAGCTGGAGGAGAAAAGGCAGCCAAGCCACAAGTTAATAAGAATCTCGATTAAAACACAGAGATCATCACAAAGATTTGAAAGGATTACTAAGCCTGGCATACGTTTTGATTCACTGCACTTGATAAGAAGTAGGTCTCGGGGAACAGCAGTCCTTGAAATGTGGACTAATTCTCTGTTTACGCCAAGAAAAACAACATTTACTTTAAGAACAAACAATACAACTGATAATTGTTCCTTGTTGACAGTTTTTGTTGACAGGTAAATGTCCACTCCTTCATTCCACATCCTATGTAAGTTGCAAATGCAGATCAGTTGTAGACCTAAGATTTATTTTCAAACTAAAGGCTTCACAGTAACTCTGGTTAAGTCTGTGGACGCTAGTAAGGTCAGACTTTACCACACCACTGAAGAAGTCTAAAGTATATTCAAATAATGACAGATTTAAGCATGAACATAATCGTGGTATGCCGCAATTTTAACTAGTGAATTTGTCCATGAATACTCTGTAGATGAAATTCTGTTCAAGCTTTCCATCAAGGTTAATAAGTCAAGAAAACTATGCATATTTTCTTCAATTGCTTCATCCAATTTCTTGCCAGGCAATCATATCTCAAAACTTGAAAGACCAATGAAAAGAATAACAAAATCCTTTACAGACTTAAACCTTTATCAAGTCATGAATAATGAACAGTAAATTCCTTGTATTCTGTCAGCAGCTTTATCTCTTTCCATTGACAGCAGCTGTAGCAGAAAAGGCTAGAGAAAACCATTTCAAAACAATTATCTTGGCTCTTGCCAGATTTTCCATTTTCTGGTACTGAATAAAATATGACCTTGATTCTTACCATTGAATCAGGCTGCTACTCAGATAACCTGAAATAGAAAAGGCTGACAAGGTGGAACAAAGCATTGTTTCTGATAGAAACTCAAACCTTTTTCCTTGATGACTTTCTACAGAGACAAATCAATAACACTAATGTATTTTTCTACACTTCCTTGGCTTAAAAAAAAAGTAATAAAAAATAAAAACAACACATACACAAAAAATCACTCCAATATCATTATTTCAGGTTTGAATATCATGTTACAAATGCCTTTTAGATTCAGCTCCCCAGCAGCTAAAGCTTTTCAGTCTCAACAGTTCTATTCTGGCTCTGAGAAGAATTCATTTACTGCATCTGTTTGGGGTTTCTTTCCCCTCTACCAAAGATAAACTCTTTTCAGAACATTGTATATGTTAAAAGCAAAGTAGAAGGAGAGAAAGCTGTATTAAAGACTAGAGATCCTACACTCCAAATGCTTTATGACTAATCTAGAAAGCCAAGGCCTGCCTAAAACCAAGTTTCTTCAAATCCTGTTTCTAATCAGTAAGGAAAACACTCCTATACCTTGTTGGAGCTACAGCTCCAACACACCAGTAAGATCCTCCAGTACCACCAGTCATCTCTAGAGGCAGAGTGCTTTCCTTTTCATTGAGCTGTCCTCCTTCCAAAGGTTACTTTTTTCCCAAATCAGTCTTAGATGGGAGGGTGGGCAGGATCAAATCTGCTGCAATCTGTGGGAGCTGAATTCACCATAATACAGTTTTGATTTCAAGCAGGCATGACTATGCAGTAATAAACAAAAAAAAAGTAATTTAAAAGCAGTATGTTAATTATATATATACACTAATAAAAAGTCTGCAGAAAAAACTTCAATGTCTCATAAGCTCAGCAGATATCCTTGTGTCCACAGCACTTAATGGAAGATGACTTTTGTGACTGGGATAGCACAGCTGTTTACAGACTGCTTTCAAGTATTCAGTACTGCAAAAGACAACAAAGTCTTGGAATTTTTGTCCCCAGTGTTCAGTGGGACACATGCATGAACATATGGAAACCAGAAAACTTCTAAGAAAAGAAAATTCTTGCAAGGAATTCTAGCAGGACCTAACCCTTACCATTGGAAATGCAAATGTGAACATCCATTACATGCTCTGGAGCCATGAGCCAAAAAGCATTTTCCTCTCATTACTGATCCTTCATAAAATACAGGAAATCTCTGTAAGAAACTTTTCTGCATTTTTCCCACATCATAAAGCACACTACCTTCCCTTAAAGCAGCAGGAAGACATCTTGCTGTCAGACCAAAGCATCCTTGTTCTGCTAAACAGTAAGTGACCAAGGGGCTATTGTAATTAATTTCATATCCAAAAAGAAAAAAATGAAAAGGCTGAAACATAACTGATAGCAACGAGAGCAGAGAAAGCCAACATGGTGAAGGGTGGAAAAGTATCTTGGAAGAAATCACTGAAAGCACTCCAATAACTGGCCATCAAAAGGCACTGTTCCAAAGGATGACCTACAAATCTCTTTGGAAGAGGCAATTTTTCATGAGCTTCTATAACAAATTTTTATGTGTAGTCTATACCAACAAATATTTCTGATGAAGAATCGTGGTAAGCTTCTGCTACCAACTACACTCTAAATACTCTAAGATCATGTTTAAGTGGGAAGACTAGGTTACTAGAAAAGTCGAGGGAGTTACCTAGTAGCATACAGCACACGTAGGCTGCTTTGGAGCTAGCTGCAATTTTAGTAGGAGAACATAGCAAATCGTTCTCTCAAAAAGCAAGAGAAACAACACATTACAAATGCTACTGCTAAACACTTCCTTTTTCCGAGTTTAAAGGAATAAGCAGGAATAAGATTCTTGTGCTAGAGGGCTGCTACCTGCACAGCTGAATGCAAGTCTAGCCTACCTATCCCTGATAAAGGCTAAAAGAAGGGAAATACCACTTAGTCCAAGAAATGCTGGCTTACATCACGCTTCACAGAGGAGATTCAGTACTGGAAGAGAGGAACTCAGCTGCAAAGCCTAACACATCATGAGGACTTCAACAGCAAAATGCATACAGACCTGCCTACCAGTGGTGGAAGTTTGTTAGCAGAGGAAGACTGCAACAGGATTTTAGATGGAGCACCGCTCTTTTCCCAGTATTTTCCTGGCCATCACACAGAGCAGAAAATACTTTTATCTTCAACCCAAGCTCTGTCTATCAAACTCAAAAAATCATTACACTGTCCTAAGAGGTAAAAAAATAAACACACACACAGAATGAGGAACAGAGGTAACTGCAAAAATAGTAGTCTTAGATGCTTCACTGTGATTTCTGCAGATCATTTTTAAGGAAGCGTGGCACAGGAGCCATATGCTAGCCACAATCATTCAACTAGAAAACATGCTGTAACCCCGAAACAAAGTCTAAAATCTTCAGAGGAAGTTCCTGAAAGTCATCTGACCTAATACCCAGTTCTGCTCTGCCTAGTCATCAAGGGCAGGGTGTAATGCTGAGTCAAAGAGAATCCAGAAACAATAGCAACTAGACTTTACTACAAAAGTAGGACTTTCATTAAAAATAGCAGGGAAAGGTTAAATAGAGAATAGCAGGTTAATGCTGGTGTGAACATGTGGCCTCTCCATATATAGGATGGCATCGTTTAAACTGGATTTTTAAAAGCTTTTAATAAAATCTCATGGATGACTAAAACCCAATAATCAGTCAGTCAAACACTAAAACCAAAACAAACCTTAAACCAAAACACAGAATAATTAACTAGAAAGCATACCAGAAAGATCTGGTTATCAGCAGAAGTTCAACCTAAACTTATTTATATGTTCTAAATTACAGCTTCAATCAAGGAGAAGTGTTTTACACTTGAGTTAGCTGCACTATAGAGAAGGCATAGATATGAGTAAAGGACAGTTTACAGAATCCTGCTGGCAAATTTTTAGGTTGTGGATAAAATTAAACCTTTGACTGCCAGCCACCACCTACTGTGCTTGAATCATGCCTTACAAGGCACTTCTTAACAGTATTGAAGAATTTTAAAATAGTAGCATTGAGGATATCTTTGACATCAACACAGTTGTGCTTACAGCATACAACTTGCTTCAAAGTGCTGCCTAGAAAGGGAGGTTAGAAATCAGTGCAAAACTATATGCATTTTTCCTCCGTTCACCAAGATAAAAGTTAAAACAACTGTTTGGTCAACTGAAAGGAATTTAACCTTTATTCCTCCAAGTTCTGGGACAAGGGATAACAAGTATTAGTCCTTCATATGCCCTGAAAGATTTACTTTTCCGTAACAGAAGGTTTACATGTACTTCCTTAACTGAGCACTAATCATACCTATGTTTTCAAAGATTGATATCAAGATATTTTAATCTGCTTTTTTAAATTGGAATGTTAAATATAATTCTTAGCTTAAAAAGAAGATACAAATACATAGTTTCTGTTAAACCAGCAGTATGCAACGTACCAATACTAGTATTTGTGGTATGTGTACAGAGAAGATGACAGATGCTACAAATACAAATAAAGAGCAACATACATACAGAATAGACCAACTCTGACATGTCCAAAACTGTAACCATATTGATTGATATTAAACTGCTGCTGTGACAAGCAAAATACCACAAGATGAGAAATGCAAAGTTACGTTCCATTCACAGAGTCCATATTATGTGAGCTCAGTCTCCTGCGGCAATTTTCCAGTATCATATAGGTAATGTAAAAATACAAAATAGTTCTTTAGGCACACTATCTGTAGTTAGAGAATTAAACACATTAGCATATACTTAATATGCTGAAAAACAAACTTATGGCTACTCACATTACATTCCATTCTTAGGCAAGGTAATTGTGAAGTAAAAGTCCCATTTTTGTATGATGTGTGCCTGCAGAGTTTCATGGTTAAACTGACCATACAGGGTAAGCAATTTTTCTGTTATGTTCTTCCAAAGAAAAGAAAAAGAGGAAGTGTAATTCCGAAGCTGCAAAAATTGGCAGGAAGACACCAAAGCAAGGAAATAGCTTTGAACTCAAGAGTTTATGTAACAGACTGTTATTCTCAGTTTGTAACTCATACTGTAAATTACCTGATAAAAATAGAAGAAAGCAAACCAAAAACCTCTACTGAAGTCAGCAATCTGACATTCTCCTAATATACACGATAAGAACTGAACAATTTGAAATCTAAAAATTACATGCCAAGAAGATATATTCTTGGGACATTAATATCTCACAAGCAACAAAAACAACCACTCAAATGTGGCAGACACTGAAAAGTTGGAAGTGTCTTGGCATAAATGTGAACAGAACTCCAAGGTGTCTGACTGTAACATTAAATAACTCTCCTCTGCACTCTGTAGAATTGATTGCATGACTCACGGGTAAAACAGTCACAAGCACTCAGCACATGGCCTTCTGTAATTATATCCTTCACAGAAGGCTAACTTATGTTGGCACATTTTAGTCCCATATAAAATATCCACTTCTAAACAAAAGTATTCAGATCCCAGGAGATGGCATTTATAACAGGAAAACCAAATGAGAAATCAGAAAGGTAAAAACATTGCAGCTTTAAAATAGAGGGTCTAATCTATTTTCTAGACAGACTGTGAAGAAATAACTACTATATTAAAATGGCATAAAAAAATATAATAAATAAATCGCTGAATGCCATCCCCTCATGTCTGCAACAACTCTATTATTCACTGCCTTCATGCTGTCTTAACACTTTCTTTTAATACACCTTGAAAAAGAGATGCATGATCAAAGGGAGAAACAGGCACAGATACATAAAATGAAAACATTAAATAGTTCATAATGTTCATCAGCAGTCACCTAAAAGCCTAGAAACATTAACTATGCTTATCCAAAAAGTTTATTTCCTGTGAGAATTGTTTCCAATCATAAGTATATACCAAGATGCCATGGCTGGCTCTTAAATCAACTGGTATTTAGATAGGGAAACTTACATAGAAGACCAGGTTAGTTTTAATTATGTAACTGATTAAGATAAAAATTAAAATTTAGCATTATAAACAAATGAACAGGTATTACATAGAATTAACAGGTATAATATATAGACTTAATATAACTTCTAAACAAATGTGGTTTTTTAAAAAAAACAGCATTTAAAAAAAAGGTATTTTGATTGAAATTTTTCTTATCCTATATTAGTGTTAGGCAGGAGGTGTATAATCCTCCCCCCAGAATCACTGACAGAAAAATCCTGAGCCTAAGCACTTTGATTGAGCAGTAGAAAGCTATCGACAAAAACACTCATATTAGCATTAAAAGTAACAGAAGAGCAAATACTTAGAGAAAAGGCAAAAACAAGATCCCAGTCCAACTAGACAAGAAGTAATCTTAACTTTTAGGTACAGATTTCAGAGCAGATGCCAAAAAAGGCTAAGTGCAGATTTACCAGAAGGTATTAGTGGATTGTATCTCCCACACAAGGACTCTCTGAAACAAGACCTCAGTTCTGGCCATACTGACTACCATCACTGGTCCACTTTGGCCTCCAGTTGGGAGACATGGAGACACACCATCCATAACGCTGCTGCCTCCTTTGAGAACACACATAGAATTAGTCTCGAGGAGAAAAGACAATG